TCTGGACCACACCGGTATGGAGTGGGTTATACTCCACAGTTACTCTGGAGTACCTTACTCCATTAACATCCCTAATCCCCGAATTATGTGATGGCAAAATTTATATTACTAAGGTAAAATCTATGATATAATAATTCGGTCATATAGCACTGACGTGATAGATCGACTTATCACGCTAGTTCTAAAATTGTTGTTGAAATGTGAAATTGGACTCAAACAAGGCAAGTTTTATTTAATTTAAATGTTTAAAAATAGTTTTAAATTTTAATGTGGAAATTGATCTTTTTCGCTTTTATAATTTTACAAACACCTATCTTTCTAATCGATTATATGAAAATATGAATATTTTCCACCAATATTGTATAACTGTAATCCTATTCAGTAAACAATATTCGATAAACCGTACATTTACATGATAAATCTATACTACAGGGTACTTTACAACAATTATAAAAGTACAATAATAAATTAAGTTCACATACCATTATTTACATTATCAATTTCCATAATTTCCGTACTATTATCATTCTCATTTTTTTTGACTACACGATAAATTTCAATATCAACCATAACAAATTCTTCACTATCATAAATCTTTTTTTCATAACTACTTTGCTTAAGTTTTCCTTTAAACCATTGTAAATCATGGCTAAAACAAGGATTCCTTGGTGCATTCCAAATCGCTCTTTCAGGACTGGTAACTCTACTAATCATACAATTTTCCAAAGTTTTACCATTTTCCATTGAAAATATGAAACTTGAATTAGTTTCACCCCAACCACTTTCTGATTTCCAATTAATTGGGTTATAACCACCAATTAACTTTCCGCTTGAATCTTCTACTTGAATCACAACTATGGTTGGCCCAACATTATCACATTTTTGATGAAATTCCGTTAAATCATTTAATCCATCTCGGCTACCACGTAATAAAAGATCAAATGTGTAAGGGATTTCATGTGGTTTATATCTTGTGATCTTTTCGTCAATCCAAGATGCTATCTGGCAAAAATGTTTCCAACAAACTAAGACAGATTTATTATTCGTTATAGCACCCATCCTTTGTGGTAGATTCAAGGGTTTCGTTGGAAGACGTCCAGCTATGTAATAAGTTTTAAGTTCATGTTTCAATTGTTTTGAAAGAAGCTTTTTATAAG